CTGGAATTATCCCAGGAGTACAAGGATAGTTCAGTGTATACAAATCAATTAACATAATACACTGCATCAATTAAAGGAAAGACAAATATCATATGACCATATTAATTGATGCAGAGAATACTTTTGACAAGATCCAACATCCACTTCTGATAAAAATCCTCAACAAAATAGGGGTGGAGATAAGTTAAAGCTTGGGGCTGGAACAGTAGCACAGCAGGTAGGGTGTTTGCCTTGCACGTGGCTGACCCGGGTTCAATTCCCAGCATCCCATATGGTCCCCTGAGCACCGCCAGGGGTAATTACTGAGCACAGAGCCAGGAATAACCCCTGTGCATCGCTGGGTGTGACCCAAAAAAAAATGATAGGCTATCTGTAACAAGTTCACAGCAAATATTATCCTTAATGATAAAAAACTAAAAGCATCCCCACTGAGATCATATACAAGTTAAGGATGTCTACTGTCTCCCCATTTTCAACATTGTAATAGAAATTCTTGCATCAGCAGTGGGGCAAGAAAAGGAAATCATAGGATTCAAATTGGATTGGTAAAGAAGAATTCAAATATTTCTATTTCCAGATGACTTGATACTATACATAGGGCTGGAGCGATAGCACAGTGGATAAGGTGTTTGCCTTGCATGCAGCCAACATGGCCAACCCGAGTTCTATTCCTCCACCCCTCTCGGAGGTTCTAGAGTATTCGATATGCCAGACACAGTAACAACAAGGTCTCCAATGGAGACGTTACTGGGCTCGCTCGAGCAAATCGACGATCAACGGGAGGGCCTTTACCTTTACCTTCACCTTACCCCTCTCGGAGAGCCTGGCAAGCTATTGAGAGTATCTTGCCCACACGGCAAAGCCTGACAAGCTACCCATGACATATTCGATATGCCAAACACAGTAACAAGTCTCATAATGTTCCTGGGCCCACTCGAGCAAATGAATGAACAATGGGAAGACAGTGACAATGACAGTGACAGAATACTCAAAAGATTCCACAAAGTAAAACTAATAGAAATTATAAAACAGTACAACAATATGGCTGGCTTCAGAACAATACACAAAAATCGATTGTATTCTTATATACAAATAATGAATCAGAGGAGAAAGAGATCAATGAATCTATCTCATTCAAAATAGTGTCTACACCTATTTTGCTGAAATACATGGTTACTCTCAGGGTGTTCCAAGCATGCACCTAATCAAAGCTTTGACAGCTACTTGCTTCCACATCCCAAAGCCATACTTCCAACCAGATTCCATCACCTCAGGACTACTGGGCCTCATAGAGAATCTAATCCTGCCAAAATCTCAGGCACTTAGGTCCCTGTGGCTGTAAGCTCCAGTCTTCTCAGAATAGGGTTGGGCTACCACCCCCTCCACTTCCCTGTACTTCTGGAAGCCCTGGCAGTCGTGCCCATTAAACCTCCTCTGCCTCCATGTAAACTCAGCAGTTAAAAATTTAACTCAGGGGCTTGAGCAATAGCACAGTGGGTAGGGCATTTGCCTTGCATGTGGCCGACCCGGGTTCGAGTCCCAGCATCCCATATGGTCCCCTGAGTACTGCCAGGGGTAATTCCTGAGTGCAGAGCCATGAGTAACCCTTGTGCATCACCGGGTGTGACCCAAAAAGCAAAAAAAAAAAAAATAGCTCATCTGGACTGACTAATTAAAAACTCTGGATTTTCTGGAGCATCTGCAAACTCTACAATACTGACATTCTAGCAGTTGCATACCAGATTGGATGAGACTTAGTGTAGCAACCAACCAATTTCAAGAAACAAACTAAACTACAGAATGAACACAGTGGGAAAAATTTTAAGTAGAAAAATAGGACTTATAACTCAGTCATTCTACACTGAAAGTCACTAAATTGCAGAAAATAAATACACACAAGTGTATATGTAATCATAATATTTTATTTAGCCAGACAGTATTTTGTAGTGCATTAATTATAATATGCTACTTAGACAGGAACAGTAAGTAGTCATCATAATGTAAATAATGACATTGATTTAACTACAAACTAAAATTCTAGTGCTAATTATAATGACAAACAGGAATTGGAGGCATTGAAAAAAGTTTAATGTTTATCCTTGCCATGATGAATCAGATATCATGGAGCATGACTACAGGCACTGGAGGAGATACGACCCAACCTTGCAGAGTGGCCCAGAAGAGAGGCTCTGCAGAAGGGAGTCTCTAGGCAAAGTTGGCAAGAATAGGGTATCAGCACCAGGTGTCCGACTTTGAGCCTGATTCGACACATGAGCCCGACACAGAAACTGTCACATATGCTTAGCAAGTCATCCTAACTGCAGCATTTAGTTTTGATTGGGATTGGACCAGGGCAAAGCAGAATTGGAAAGGTAATAGATGAACAATGCGAAACTTTATGTGATTGGACCTTCCCCTAAAGCCGAAACCCTCCATAAAATATGTATGTGTTTGGCAATAAAGTGAACAGCCATCAGCTGCTCCCGGAGGGTGTTTCTCTGTGCACCTGTCATCCTTTGCCCCACGTCTCCCGGGACCCGGTGCACAATGTGTCCAGGCACCGTTGGGGAAAAATGTTCTCCAACAAGAAGTATCTTAATTGGTGGAACAATAAATATCAATATAAACATTCAGAAATGCAGAGATAAACTCAGAAGAAATGACATTTTAAAAATTAAAAGAGGGAGCCAAAAGATAGTACAGTGGGTAAGATGCTGCCTTGTATGTAATTGACTCAAGTTTGGTCACTGACACTACTGAGCCCTGCCCAGTATAATCCCTGAGTGATGATCCCTGAGCACAGAGCTAGGAGTAATCCCTGCACAGATGTAGTCCCAGAAAAGCAAAAGTAAATTTTAATTAAAAGGGGGCTGGTGAATTTGCTTAAGAAACTGGGTGTATTGTTTACATGAAGGAGACTTGCATATGATCCCCAGAATTGCATGGTTTCCTGAGCACTGCAAGAGTGTCCCCTGAGTTTAGAGCCTTGAATAGCCCAAGGCTATTAGATCTGGCCCTAAAATTTATATTCCTCACAGTTTAGCTGCTTTGGGATTCAACAGACAGATAAATCCTGCCATTTTAAATTATCATGCCAGTTAGAAATATGTGATTTTACTCAAGGACCACTGAAGGAACAATTCCGGTATAAAAATTAGGGATGGGAAAGTTTTCAAGTGGGAAGAGAAGGGTTTTGGTTACATGCAGATATGCTGCTCTGAGCTGTTTATTCAGAGATCACACCTGGCCTTCTTATGGGAGGGGTGGGGGAGGGCAAAACCTTTTGCAACTAAAGGCTATTCCCAGGTCTGTTCTTAGAGTCACTTTTGGCCTTGCTAGGGGAAAACAGTGCTAGAGATCACATCTGGATCTGAGCATGAAAAGAATGTGCTCCCTCCAGCCTGTTGAGCTGTCTCTCTGACTCTGTGATTGCTTTTTTAATAGCAATGTAGGTGTCCTTTAACAAGTGCTTAGCAAATATGTGCTAAATGAATGATAGTCTTTAAAAGTGGTTTGACACAACACCCAATAGGAGAGAGAGAACAAAAGGGAATGCCCTGCCACAGAGGCAGGGGGGATGGGGGTTGGGAGGGATACTGGGATCCTTGGTGGTGGGAAATGGGCACTGGTGGAGGGATGGGTATTTGATCGTTGTATAATTGAAACCCAAGCACAAAAATTTGTAAGTCTACAACTGTACTTCATGGTGTTTCACTAATAAAAATTAAATAAATAAATAAAGTGGTTTGAAAGGAACCAGAGATAATAAGGCAGGTAAGGCCTGGGTTCAGTCAGATTGCATTATTCCTTAAGTCCTCCGTGCCTTGCAGGAATCATTCCTGCATACAAAGTCAGATTAAGCCCTGAGCACAGCTGAGTATGGCCCAAAACACAAAACAAACAAAAAGAGATTCACCACTAAGAGAATTGCTACATATGATAGTGATCACTAAGTATAATAGGCATTTTATAAATGTTTAAAACCGTGCATATGAATATTTAATTGTTAATTTATAAATGAATGCTTAAATAAAATATAAAATACATAAGATTCATAAATAAAACCAATAGAGATTGCTTCCAAGGGAGAAGAAGAATTGGGGTTAGAGATTAATTTTAATTTTAAATGGAATATATTATAAATAAAAAATATAAAGCACATACCACAAAATAAAAATTATTTATCTTTATCATTTTGATCTAATTATTTAGAATAAGGTGTTCTTCCTTAGTTTACCACTAGATGCTGTACATTGCATATATTCATCTGTGTTTTGAAATTTCTAAAATATTTTACACATATATTTTATTTGGGATACAGCTAAGTAGTAAAGCACATGCTTTCCATGCATAGGACTTGAGTTTGACTTCTGCCTTCTTGGAATGGAGGTGGGAAGATTTCCCTTTCTTCCTGAAGGTCCATCAGCTGCCACTCACACTTGACATCTCTGGCATAGAAACAGCCCAGGTCCGTAATTAAGCAGCTAAAGATTCCCAGGTGGACCAGTCTCTGGATTGAGAACCCTAAAGCCTTCTTGAAACAATTGTATAATGAATACTTTGTAAATCATGATTTTCTAATTTAAAAAAAAAATTAAAACGAGTTCAATCCCTACCCTAAAAATTATTTACATATGGAATTAAAAATAATTTTAAGGTTTTACACTAAAAACATTGTTCTGAAAGTTAAAGACAAATATTGGATAATCTTACTCATATGTGTAATATAAGGAAACAATGAAAGGAATTAGATAATTCCCAATGTAAACAAACCCTTTGGATATGACCAGTAGAACTGGCAGAGTGAGGAAACATGGGACGATGATGGAGGGATCTTAAAATGCTGGTGGAAGTCTAGTGTAATAGTAATAGTAAAAGTAAAAAAAGTAAAAAACTATAAAACAATGACTTTAATATTTATAAACCATGATGCTTCAATAAAAATATAAATTTTATATGCGCTGGTAACAAGAATCATTCCATGTTTTCCTCCTCTCCAGATCAAAAATGTCTCAGTTCAGTCAAGAAAAAAGGTACATGTATGAGAAACTGGAAAAGTTACAGAGAAGGAATAATGAACTGGAAAAACAATGTGTCCAGCATGGGATACTACATGAGAAAATGAAACAAAGGTATTAATTGTTCGATGGTCAACTGATGTGCTATTTATTTTATGTGTGTGACTAAAAGCAAAATAGGTAGGTAGCTCAAGTGGTTCGAGTGCATGCCTTGCTCAGATTTGGATTTTTTTTTATTTTACTTTATTTGATCCAGAGTGACCCTCACTTCCTCAGCACCACTGAGCTGAGGCATCACCATTCACCAGGTCCTCACAGCCAGGTGGATTATTGCAGGGAGTGTGGCCCCTGGGCCTTCTGAGTATAACTTGACAGTATTCTCTCTGGAGAAAGCTGCAGTATGCGAGAGTTGTAACTTAGAGCTCATAATTACTTTGGTACTCAGAGGAAAGGCTTAGACACCAATATTTTTGTGTATTTGTGTTTTCTCGGTTTAAGTGTTCTTACATATAGGAAAGCACATCTCTTTACTATTCTCTGAAGGCATATAATATGACAGGAAAACTATCCACTTTAAGGTATAAATGGTAATTAACAAGGCGGGGGGGAGTTGATTTTAAAACTTTTCTAGAAATTATATTTTATGGGACTTTTTTTAATGATTAGATCAGGTAGGAGTCAAGAGATGCAGCAGTTACAATAGATGCACCCAACTCAGTTTGATTAACCAGTTTGCTTCATGATGCCTTTTGGTCCCCAAACTTTGTTGGGTATGGTCCTGAAGGACCCCAGCACCGCTGGATTGGCCTGCATATCCCTGGAACCTCAGGGCCTAAGCAGCATTGAAGGCATGCCAGGTTGGCTTGGAATTGTTGGTGGGGCCCTGGACCTCCTGAGCACATTTTGGAAGCACCCCAGCCCCAATAGATATCTGAGAAGCATACAGAGGTTAATCATATTAACCACAGGTTATATTGTCATATTGCATTATCATATTGCTAGAGTAAAGATTCGACTCTGAACCCTACAAAGAAGTAAATTACTTCTCTGCCCATCAATTATCTTAATTTACATAATGGGATTAGTGATGCCTACTTTGAAGTGTGATATGAAAATTAAATATATGTAAGTAAATTACCTGACTCACTGTTCCTTACTAAATATCAGTATTTGCTTCTCATCTCTAGATTGAGAAAGTCAAGTTCTGACAGACTAATCAATTTGAGAAAAAGATAGAGTTCAAACTTAAACCTTAACATTTTGACTCAAATTCACTTTAGTTTCTTTTTTTTTTATTTGGGCCCATGCCCAGTGATGCAGAGGCACTACTCCAGGATAGGTGATCAGGGATAAGCTCCCAGAGTTACTCAGGGATCGTGTGTTGCTGGGATCAAATCGAGGCCTACTGTGTGTAATTCATATGCCCCCACTCATTGAACTATATCTCTGACCCTTCTTTTCTATGCCATTTTTTATAATAGAAACAGCCCTAAAGTATTTCCGAAAAATTGACCTTTTAGAATATGTGTAATAATGATGAGTTCCCAAGGGCAAGGGTACGGGGAATCTCAGTATTTTACGGAACTCATTGAACTGATTTATATAGACATGGCAACTGCGAACATAACAGCAGTCGAGCTTTTTTTTAATTGGAGATGATTTTCTTGACTTCCAACTTCCCATCCCTATTCCATTGACCAGCTACCCAAGGCCTTCTCTGTTTTAATAGTTAACATAAATGTTTCCAATGTAAAAATGTTTGGGTTGGGGAAATAGCTCAAGTAGTAGAGCTTATGCCTTGAATGTGTGAGACCTTGACTTACTTTTTACCACATTCCATCCCCCACTCAAGCATCACCATGCATGACCATTCTAGCTCTTGTGTTACCACAGAGTATAACTCCTATAGAAAAATTAAATTATCTGCATATCATTGAGAGACAGTTAATACATTTATAGACCTATTTTATTCGTTTTAATTTAAATGTAAATTGCAGTCACTGAGAAGTGTTTTCACAATTTTTGAAAGAACGATTTTTTTCTTTAAGGTATCAGGAATCAAACCCAGACTTCATGAATGAAAACCTGCACTTTATCATTGAGCCACATCACCAGTCCTATTTTTCACAACTTTGATTGTATGCTCTATTTAATGGAAAGGCAGTAAAAAAATGATATTGGATTTGTCTCCAAATACTACATAATAGTATGTGTATGTGTATATATATATATATATATATAAACACATGTATGCAAATATATCAATATATATGTGTATATGTACATATGTATATATATTTAAGCCTAGACACTGTTAGGCTACAGATCAGCAAAGTTATTCTATTAAGGACCTGTGAGTAAATATTTTAGACTTTGTGGGCTACATGTGATCTCTACCAATAGAATATGTCACCCAGGCTATTGTTTTATTTACTTTTTTAAAGAATTTTCTAAAGCAAAACCATTCTTAACGATGCCAACAAAGCAAGCAAGAGGATTCAACCTTTGTTCTATAAACCTAGCATCATTCTTCTATTTTTCTTATATTTATATATTGTTTTAGAGTTCACAAAATGCATTCATAAATATTGCCTTATTTTTTAAATAAACCCAGAAAGTAGCTATTATTAACATTTATTTCTAGACAGAGAGCAAAGGCTCAGATAGTTAAAGTTGCTAACTGAAGATGCTAATGGAAAATTAATCATCCACTAAATAATTAGATTGCTACTACATGTCATATTATTCACCACATGCTGAGAAAGTAATGGAGTTTATAGCTTTGTAAGGAGAATAAATATTGACAGAATTTTGCAAATACCTGATTAATTATAGTAACTGTCAGTTCTGTAAAAGAGAAATATACTTTGTGGTGCAAACATGTTCAATAGGTGGGGGATTTACCTAGATCAGGAAAGGTTTTTATATAAAAATGGAACTTGAAGTGAATCTGTCAGTGACGGGATAAAGATTATTAGCATTTTACAGCAAGAATGTCAAGCTATACCCCAGCCTACAGCTTATTTTATAATGTACACTGGTGTATTCATTCATTTACATATTTGCATGTATTACCTATGTCTATGACTTCTTTAGTGATGTGGCATATAATTCAGTACTTCAGTGAGAGATTGATCTGCTGGTTTACAAAGCCTAAAACTGTTTCCTTCTGATACTCCATAAAAAAAAATTCTGGCTCAGGGGCTGGAATGATAGCACAGCGGGTAGGGTGTTTGCCTTGCATGTGGCCAACCCAGGCTCGATTCCCAGTATCCCATATGGTCCCCTGAGCACCGCCAGGAGTAATTTCTGAGTGCAGAGCTAGGAGTAACCCCTGTGCATCGCCGGGTGTGACCCCAAAAGCCAAAAAAAAAAAAAAACTCGCTGGCCTTCCAAGGACAGAGGAAAAAAATTTCTGACTCATGTTCTAGATGAAGCAAGACTGTAAAATTGAAGGTCCTTAGAATCTTAGAGGAAGGAAAGAAACATAAAAAATAAGGAATGGAGTGGCATGTGTTAAGATAAAAGAGGTAGGTGAGGACCAGGCCTTCTTTTTATTATAGACTTACTACTCTACTCTATTACTGAACAGTATTAGGGGATTTAGTTTTCATTTATAAAGTAGCATTCCTTACTGGAGAGATTTCTTGGACTTCATTATGGGGCTTTGCATACATCCAACCCTGGTTTAATCGACAGCACCATATGCATTCCCTCCTTTGGGAAACTCACTGTTTCTATCCCTAGTAGTCCCCAGTTCTGCAAAGACCAAGCAATACCTTATCTTTGGTCTCTCACATTCAACCAAACAATCTGACTGAAAATCACTGGATAAAGCCCCTATGTTCCTTGAGCATCCATGATCTTTTCTGGAACCAGATGGTTATTTTATTTTTTTATTAACAATGAAAAAATAAAATAAAAAAATAAAATTACCGTCTGGCTTCAGAAAAGATCATGGATTGCAGCAGTACTATGATGTTTATACAGGACCAATTAGGAAAGCATTAGAAATGTGGTACTAAACAGAAGTAAACATACATAGGGCAATAAGTAAAGGTAAAGGCCCTCCCGTTGATCGTCGATTTGCTCGAGCGGGCCCAGTAACGTCTCCATTGGAGACTTTGTTGTTACTGTGTCTGGCATATCGAATACTCTCGGTAGCTTGCCGGGCTCTCCGAGAGGGGCGGAGGAATCGAACTCGCGTTGGCCATGTTGGCCGCTTGTAAGGTGAACGCCCTACCCGCTGTGCTATCGCTCCAGCCCAATAAGTATAAAAAATATTTAATAATTGATAGACTAAGTTGAATAGATAAGGATACATAACATATCAAGGATAATACACATATTTCTGGCATAAGCAAAGGTTTTAAGTAGTGCAACTTATTGAGAATTAGGTAAGACTCAAAAGGAGCAGGTTTGTGATCAAAATTTCAATTACAAAGAGTTGGTTCTGTTTTATGATGTCTTGAGTAGACAGGTGGACATGAAGCTAAGCTCCACAGATGCACATGATCCAGAGAAATTTCTATAGGCCCTCTGAGTATATTTAAAACCTTGACAATAAGTGGAGCTACCTAAATATTAATAAGGGAATACTTACCTGGCAGGAGATATGAGATCATGATCATGAAGGTGGTTTTCCCAAGACAAGACTTATCCATTGCAATTCAGATGTGTTCACCCCTGAGATTCTCCCAAATGTGGGAAACTCAGCTACATAATTTATTGTAATGAGGACTGTGTTCACACTCTTTCCTGGCAAAAATAGAAATAAAGGAAAACACAAAGAAATTAGTAAAAGTTCTTAGAGATTCCTGAACACACAAGTGGGAAGTATTTTCTTCTTTTTTAAAAAAAATTTTTTTTATTGAATCACCATGAGATAGTTATAGGCTTTCATGTTTGGGTTACTATCACACAGTGATCAAAAACCCATCCTTCCACCAGTGCACATTCCCCACCACCAATAACCCCGGTATACCCCCCTTTCCCACCCTCCCTCTGCCTCCGTGGCAGACAATATTCCCCATAATCCCTCTCTACTTTTGGGCATTATGGTTTGCAATACAGACACTGAGAGGTTATCATGTTTGGTCCTTTATCTACTTTCTGCACACATGTCCCATCCCAACCAGTTCCTCAAGCTATCATTTTCTTAGTGATTCCTTCTCTATTCCAGCTGCCTTCTTCCCTTTGCTCATGAGACAGACCTCCAGCTATGGAGCAAAGCTAAGTAAAATGAGTCAGAAAGAGAGGGCCAGACATAAAAGGACTGCACTCATTTGTGGAGTATAAAACAACATAACATGAGATTGACTCCTAAGGATAGTAGATACATGGAACAGGTAGATTGCTCCATAACTGGAAGTATTATCTTTTAATTATCAATTATTACATCACAATAGGGCTGGAGCGATAGCACAGCAGGTAGGGCATTTGCCTTGCACAAGGTCAACTCTTTTTTGATTCTACCGACCCTCTTGGAGAGCCCTTCAAGTTACCCAGAGTATCTCGCCCGAAAGGCAAAACCTGGCAAGCTTCCTGTGACATATTCAATATGCCAAAAATAGCAACAACAAGTCTCACAATTTGTTGTGAGACATTACTGGTGCCCGCTCAAGCAAATCCATGAACAATGGGAGGACAGTGCTATAGGACAGACAGTTCTACATCACAATAAAGTCAATCAGTTGACATCATCAACCTCCATTCAGTGAGAGTCAGTTTCAGAGAATAAAGCAAATGCATTAGGAGGCAGACACACATGGACTGTCCAAGGTTTAAGGTCACCTGGTCAGACATTTATTCAATAAAGTATCATGACTCCACCTTGGCTCCCAACAGGTATTGTCTGTAAGCTAACAAATATCAAAGACAGTAAGTGTATCAAAATTCAACAGGTACTTAAGCAGAAACTGGAGCATTCCAAATGGCCAATCAGCAGGCACCCTTAAAGTATAAAGTTATGAAGATTTCCTATTCTAGTTTTTTTTATGCTGCTCCCTATATCTTAAAAAACCTAAATTATTTCATTCTATTCTTCCCTGGATATATATGTTTTTTGCCCTCTATCTATTCTGTTCTTTCCTAGGCACATTTTTGCTTTCCCAGGTTATATTCTAGAAGGTCTGAGCTTTTTTATCTTTCCCCAGTGGACTATACCAACCTTATGGTTATTGTTAGGGAGAATATTCTTTATGATGAGGTACTAGAAATTCCTTTGGAAGATAGATACTCTGTAAAACTATTTGTAATCTATCAATTTTAATATTTTTATGAAGACTTTTCTCAGGATTATCCATTGTAAACCTCTCAAATAGTATGCTCATTAAACCTCAGTATCTCTCTTTGCTGTTTTAAGTCCATTGAGGACTTTTAGGATTTTCGTTACCTTAACTCTTGCCATTTAAATTTTTAACTTAGGGACAGAGAGATAGCTTAGTGGGAAAACAAGTATATTGCCTGCAAGAGGTCTGAATTCAGTCCTTTGAACAGCATGGTTCCCCATAGTCATCACAAACTACGTCAGGCACAGAAGCCAGAAGTGTCCCCTGAGTCCTGCTTGGGTGTGACATCCTAACAAAAGTAAATAAGATTTAATTTTGCACTCTTTTTATTTTGGTGGTGGATGTAGGGGGTGTGTAATTTAACCTTTAAGTAAATACAGTTGCTGGTTTGGTTTTTTGTTTGTTTGTGTTTGTGTGTTTGTTGATTCGCTACAGGATCTCTATAATTTTATTAAGTAAAAGACTGTAGTCCCCTTTCCTTACTTTTTTTGGGGGGAGGGGCGTTAATATTATTGTTGAAATACCTGTAAGTCACACACACTTGGCTGCAGTATTTACTCAACACAAGTTGGACTATTCAAGTGTGGTGCTTGCACACATTTTGGTTGCAGTGCTCACAGACTTTATAGCTAGATTTTATAGCTCACAAACATACTCACTAAGAGATGCATGTGCTTGGTTATTGTAAACTGGGCAACTACACTTTTGTTGTGACTTACTGTTCATCAGGATTATTGGTATGTAATTCTCTGTGATGTCTCTGTGTGCTTTTGGTATCAGGATATTGTAGCAGGATGCTTTGTCCTGGCACCTGATTTATTCTTGGTGCTCAGTTAGAATTAACAGGTTTGGAGGAGTAGCCTGGCAGTGCTGCAGACCAGCACCTTCCCCCACCACTACATAGAATTGAGTCAGATAATGATTAATATCCAAGATATATAAAGAATTCACCAAAAAAAAATGAAAAGAGTAACAAAAAGAAACCCTGCCCCAAAGGAGAACCGAAATAATATAATATTTCTCTCTAAGGTTGGTTGCCACCTGCTTTGAATCCCATCAAAAGTGGTGTGGTACTCTTGGGATAGGGGTAGGGTATGTCCTATGAAGTACATTTGTGGCCACACTGTCCTGGAAAAGGTTCTCTCATGGGGGGGACTCAGCCTGAGCATGTGGAGAGTGACTGTGAGCATGGAAGCAGTTGAGTTCTGGAGGTTTTTGACTTCCAGGGCTGGGTCCCTTGGGGCAGGGAGAGGGTCTTATCTGCTCCCCTCTGGGGTGCCCCAAGTGAAACAGCCTGGCATGGGGTCCATCAGCATGGTTATGGCGAGCGTCATGTTATGCTCCCTTCTGGGAAAGAAGGACATGCAATCTGAAAATACTTTTTTCTTTTTTTTAATGGCTGGGCCTATAGCTAATTGGCAGAGCACTTGCATTGAATGTCAGAGGTCCTGCATTTGATACCTAATATCACATACAAACAAAACAAAGAACTTTTTAATAAAAATAAAGTAGGCCTTGGAGGAGATGCCACTGAAAACCTTTTTACCTAAACACATAAATGTTCCTTTTAGATACAAGAATCTTTAATTTAAAATTTTGGTTACTTTTTTCACAAGTGAGAATTTGAGCTTGTTATCTTCATCTGAATAGAAATAAGAGGTTTATTGGCAAGAAGATAGCTTATAAGTGGTGAATTAGTCTGGTTAAGAAAGCATAGCAGGGAGTAAGCTTCAGAAAGGATCAGTGGAGGTTCTGGTTTTATGCTGACCAGAATAAAGTAATACAGCATATTTAGGAATATTTAATGTATGCATATTTAGGAATTTCCCAAGAAAAAATGAGAGAAACATGGCCAGGCACACTTGAGTAATTTTTAATGAACATATATCACATTGGGCAGGGCATTTGCCTTGCACGTGGCCACCTGGTCGGCTCAGGTTCGATTCTTCCACCCTTCTCCAAGAGCCCGGCAAGCTACCGAGAGTATCTCACCCGTACAGCAAAACCTAGCAAGCTACCTGTAACGTGTTCAATGTGCCAAACACAGTAACAAGTCTCACAATGGAGACGTTACTGGACCCACTTGAGCAAATCAATGAACAACGGGAGGACAGTGCTATATATCACATAAAATGGAAAGTGGTGGGAAAAATGTCATTGTAAGTGGATTTTCTCTTTTTTTTTTCTTTTGGTATGATACTGAATTTGCAGATTAAGAGGGGTTCCTCCGTGTATTATCTTTTGGCCATTTTTTTAACAGCATAGATGGAGGCCAGTGGTTTGGGATAGATCTATGGGCATGGTCATACTGTGGCCTGTAGTATAGGGTGTAGGGCAGGAAGTTAAAGCATGCTTATGACAGCAGCAGGTATCTTCAATTCCCCTCATTTCTCTTCCTTGGAGATACAGAACACAATGAATTATACCCCAAGACCTGATATAACTGAAAACCAGGAAACTAGGGAATGCTCCAGAAGGTACAAGGAACTAGAGGAATAGCCAACATGTCTTCTGTGGCAGCTTGACCAAAGACACAGGCAAAATCTATCAGAGGTTGAGAAGGCAGGTGTAGTATATGTTGCTTTGTCCATCATATGGAGCTTGGAGAGAGTTTAATAAAATACTAGAATATTATTAGATGTCGTAGAATGCAGTTATACCTCTCTTCAGAAGTTGCATCATTTGTAGCAAGTGAAACTTACGAAAACTAAGGCCAAGTCTCTATCCTTGTAAATGTTTCCTCATGCTCCAAGAGCAACCTCTGGCCAGGGTGTGCAGAATAGTGCCACAGTCCATGCCTCAGCACTAGACAGGCAGTAGTAGTGGGAAATGAATCCTGAGCTGTTTCTGAAAAGTTTTCTTTCCTGGCCACCTCCTCACCCATGGACGTCCCCCCTTCACCCCCAACTGTTAGTGCTTTTGGTTAAGTGAAGTAGGGCATGTGCATCCAACTCTTTCCAATGAACCTCTGGGTAAATTTTTTATTCTAATTTTAATTCAAAGCCCATATTTCTGAAGGTGAGTGTGCCACTGTATGCAGGAAGTCATGTCTGTGGACAAATTAGGATAATAGTTTGAGTTAATTAGCAAGTCTTGAGAGGAAGAGAGAAGAACCCAAGAGCAAAATAACAAATTTAGCATCTTTAAAACCATCTTTTTAGTGATTCCAGAGTTCATGATTGACTAATAGTGAAAAACTCATATTTTAGTATTTCTATTATTCCTAGCTCACTTCCGCAACCAGGGTCATCCATCTTCTCCAATCTGTCAAAGCTGTTTCCATGTGTACAATGAAGGCATTGATATACTCATTTTGATCTCTGAAAATTGATGGTTTGAATTTTTCTTCTACTCATTCAACTTATCAGTGTATTTTCCATTTGACAGCTCATTAATAAGATTCTTATTCTCTTCCATATTTTATGTAGTTCATTATGCTTATAAATGTCTTCCAAGACCTCACCTCACACTCAGGGTCACCTCAAAGTTCCAGTTCACTGTCCATTGTCAGATCATCCTTCAGACATATACCAGTGGAACACCTTGAAAGTCTGAAGTCAGCCTGTTCTTCTTCCTGTAGTGCATTTCAGATTTTTAGGCCCACACCTAATTCTTCTTGATTTTTCTCCAGATTAATACAACTGGACACGTACAGTCAGGTGACAGCCCAACAACTGGTACAAGTCCTCAGCAAACAGAACCAGTTTCTGCTTAAACAACAGAACCTTCCAGAAGATGTAGAGCATCTGCAAGGACAGGAAATATACCAAATTATGAAAGTGGATCAGTGCTCAAGCCAGCTCAGCTCATTGCATCAGAGAACAGGTGCGAGGTTGCATGGGGTTCTTTTTCTCCTTTCTTTACTCAGAATTGCATCTTAACAGACTAGAAGTTTTAGTGATCATACTGGTTATATTACCTCCAAGGCTGGGAAGAGATATCCAAAATTGGATTTGGCACAGAAGAGAATGTCAAGAAGGGTGAGTCACAGACCTATTTCTTGAGGAAGCCAAAGCTAAAATTCATGAAGAATGAATTTTACCTGCACAAATTTTACCTGAATAAATTCAGCTGCACAGAGAAGGGTGTGAGCACTTCACAGAGTTCAAGTCACATAGACAGATACCACATTGCTTGCCATACTTGTACCAGAGAAAGGGACCCCCAACTCCAGACTTCTCACTAGACACACTGATTACTAAAGGTGCTCCCAACCATGCAAGAGGGAACAGAAAGAAAGTCACTGGGAAATGAAACCAATGCATTTTGTGATGAATTTACTTGAAGTGCTGGAAGACATCTAACTGGATGGTTCTTACAGGGGAGCCAACTGAGGCAAAGATCAGATTTAAAGGAGCCTCTGTATCTACACATTCACACTGGAAACCATAACTGTAAGTTAAAAATTCCTCTGTTAAAGTGGTTTTGTTTGTTTTCTTGCTTGTGACCATGTCCGGCAGTGCTATGGGGCTACTCTTGGCAGTGTGCAAAGGGAAACACACAGTGTTGGGAATCGAACCTGAAGCTCCTACCTGCAATGCACTTCAGCCTTTGTAGCTGTGCCCTTTGCTCTGGCAAAGTGTTTTTATGCAAGGAGAGAGGAGTCACAGCCTTTGAACAGGCTTTGTTATTTAACGGTGGAACAGAAGTTTGAGATAGTGGAACCAAAAGGTAGGGGAAATGAACAGCAACTTACGTTCTGGAAGACAGAATATCAAGGACCACAGCACCGTGACCACTTATGGCATATAAATCTACCTTTGTGGGCAAGGGCCAATAACTATTCCTGCTTTTCCCATGCACAGAATGCAGGTGGTACTATCTAGTGTGAGCTTTTGTTGTGCAAATTAAAATAGTTATGAGTGTAAAATGATTATGATACTTACTAGCCTTTAGCACATTACTAGAAAATAAATATTAGTACATGTTTTATAGCCAAAAGTTATATGTTAGTTGAAAATATTTATTTATATATTTATATATTTATTTATTTATTTCCATGGGGAGACCAGCTCTTTCAGGAAAATTGTGAGTCTTATCATCTTGATAAACTTACCTAAGGAATGGAAGAGAAATATTTCATGTAGCCAGTGACCAAATGTTTGAAAATATTTTAAGATGATACATTTTGCCACTAAAAAAACACTCCCAAAAGACCACATTAAACTAGTAGAAAACTTCCAAGTTAAATTGTGGAGAGAAACCAAACATCTAATTAAATTGTATGTTTGAGGATATTGTTCACATCTGGATTTAATGTAGTCCTGCTTGGAGAAAAATTTGTAGGCGTGGCTTTGGTACCAGTAAATAAGTTATGTGGCATGATAAACAAATGTATTTGTCTATTATATAAATAAATTTGTGTAAATTTATTTATTATAACTTATTTATACCACATATGATCTATATGTATATGTCACTTACAACATAAAAATTTAAGTTTATTTATTCACTTTCTTTCACAGTATTCACAGTAAAAATGAAGTCTGAAGTACAGAACTGAAGTTGACAACTTCCACCACATTCTCTTTTGTATAAGTTATTCTCTCCAGCCCATTCAGCTCTATAAAACTGATTTTTGTTTTACCACTTGCTCTGTCTTGCTTATTTTAAAATAGTTGGTTCTGATTATGCAATGTGGCCGTGCCTGTTCCCATGGTGACTTCCACATGCCTGTCATTCCTGCTGAGCCTGTGTTCCCCGCACCACTCCCCAACCCCTGCCCCTCATTCCGGTCAGGAATCCTCATTTCTACCTAGGTGTGATACTTGCCCACTGGCAGGTCAGCACCACAATCAGAACTGTAGCTTCAAGTCTGGCTGCAAAAGTGTACCTGAAGTGCCCCTCATCTTGAACTACCTTACCCTGCTATACCCGGTGTGTACTTACTAAAAATGAAGAGATTGCCTGGTTCTGACAAGGATTAGCCTGACATGGTATCAGTCATGGTACTGGAGACAACAAATATTTACACATTAGGCCAATAGTCCACTAGCCTATCCCAATCAAAATACCACCCAAACTCAGCAAAATAAGATTGAGCACAAGAATCTGAGCAACCCCAATATAAGAGAACACATCCCCTGAATTGCCACCAGATGCCCCATATAAGGCACACAGATACACCAAAGATGAGGGTAATATTCTTGAAGTGGAAAAAAGAGACCACCATCGATCAAGCTAAAAGACCCTACTAGGGGCTGGAGCGATAGCACAGCAGGTAGGGCGTTTGCCTTGCACACGCCAACCGGGGTTCAATTCCCAGTATCCCATATGGTCTCCCAAGCACCGCCAGGAGTGATTCCTGACTACAGAGCCAGGAGTAACCCCCTGAGCATCGCCAGGTGTGATCCAAAAAGCAAAATTAAAAAAGAGACCCCAAGGGGCTGGGGAGATATCACAGCGGGTAGGGCGTTTGCCTTGCACGCGGCCGACCTGGGTTCGATTCCTAGCATCCCATGTGGTCCCCTGAGCACCGCCAGGAATAACTCCTGAGTGCAGAGCCAGGAGGAACCCCTGTGCATCGCCAGGTGTGACCCTAAAAAATGCAAAAAAAAGAGACCCCAATAAAAGACTCCAAGACATGTCATAATCATAATGATGAATACCATAGGTAGAGATTGCCTTGTTCTGACAAGGATTAGAATACTTGAAGCAGCAAGATCAAAGAAGGGAATCACATACAAAGGAAATCCCTTACATTTACATCAGACTATCAGATGGAATCCTCCAGGCCCAAAGATAGTGATAGTATAGTGAAAATACTCAATGAAATTACCTCACCAAGAATACTGTATACGGCTAGACTCTCATTCAGATTTGAGAAAGGTACGAATGAACAACAGTCTAGAAACGTCATAGACCGAAAACCACCCTTAAAAGAAAGACTGAAGGAACTACTGTAAGACAAGACAAACACCACAAACACAAAAAAAACTTCTACAGAAAGATGGCACAGAATCTCCATGACGTGCTGGGAGAAAAGGCAGCTCAGGTAGAGAAGGGACCAACAAGTAAAGGATGCTTGCAGAGCCTGCTCAAGATGTGAGATGTGTGCTGAAAGTAGACTATAGACGGAACATCATGGCCACTTAATACCTGTATTGCAAACCACAACATCCAAAAGGAGAGAGAGAGCAAAAGGGAATGCGCCTGCCACAGAGGCAGGGTGGGGTGGGGGGGATGGGGTGGAGGTGGTGGGAGGGAGACTGGGATCACTGGTGGTAGAGAATGGGTACTGGTGAAGGGATGGGTACTCAATCATTGTATGATTGAAATGTAAGCATGGAAGTTTGTAAGTCTGTAACTGTACCTCACAGTGATACATTAAAAAAAATTTTTTAATTTAAAAATAAAAATTTTTTAAAAAAAACACGACAATAACTTCTCTCAGTGTCAATGGACTAAATGCACAATTAAGAGACACATAATGGCAAAATGGATTTAAAAACTGAATCCAACATTCTGCCTACAAGAAATACATTTGAACAATATGCGCAAACACAGACACAAAATCAAAAGCTGGAAAACAATTTTTAAGAAAACAACTTCCTCAAAAAAGCTAGAGCGGCCATACTAGTATCCAACAACATAGATCTCAGGCTGAAAAAGTTTAAAAGGGACAGGGAAAGGCCATTTCTTAATAATCAAAGGGTATGTACATCCACTACCTCCACTACCCAGCCGCCGCCACACTCCACAATGCTTTACGGATGCTTGGGCAAAGACTCACACACGAGTGAAGGCCCACAGAATCAGGTAAGCAGAACTCTGTGACTTTGGAATCCAGGCTCAATGGACCCAGGAACAGAGATCCTTTGCCTGCTCCCACCAATCTCCTGCGACCAAGGTATTAAAACCAGAAGCCGCATCCTACCCTGCCCTGTCTGCTTCCACCAACGAATGAACTAATGAACAACAGTCCAGCGACTCAGGGATTCCACACAGAAGACCCACCCTACAGTGCTAGATAAATATCTCATTTGCAGACCTCCACTACCGCTGCCGCCACACTCCAGGACACTTTCCACTTTACAGCCGCGCAACACATCATAAGATACTTAATACAAGATTACTGCATCATATTTGATAGGGTTAAATATGGTTTGAACCATGGGAACACCTGCAAGGGCAATTAGAGGCCGCCCTAAAAGCCTCTGTCCTTCTCAGAGAGCCTGGCAAGCTACCGAGTATATCCCGCCTACAAGGCCAAGCCTGGCAAGCTATCTGTGGCATATTCGATATGCCAAAATGAGTAAATAGAGTGGGTCTCATTCCCCTGACCCTGAAAGAGCCACCAGTAAAGCAGCTTAAGAAGGATGAGGAAGGAGAGGTTGATAAAATCTCAAGGCCGAACTAGGCTGCCAAAATGAAGAAAGACAAAAATGATTGTCTGTACTTTCAATGCACGTACACTGGCATTGCATGCATCCATCAAGGACCTGATGGTACTAGTGCGAAAGATCAAGTATGACATCATTGGTCTGACCGAAATGAGAAGGCATCAATCATATCACACCGTTTTCGACACTGGAGAAGAACTGTTCCTTGGAACATGCGACAAAAGAGGCATCAGTGGAGTCGGTGTCCTTGCCAACACAAACTTGGCCATAGATATTGATTCATTCGAATGCCTAACAACCTGAATCGGACAATTACACTTGAATAGATGTGAATCACTGCCAGCAGTTTCTATCTTTGTTATCTACACACCACAATCCAATTATGATGGAGGAGAAATTGAGAAGTTCTACATGGAGCTGGAGAAGTTCTATACAGAGGACCACACCTTCTACAAGATCATTGTCGGTGATTTTAATGCCAAGATAGGACCAAGAAGATCAGCCGAAGAACTCCACATTGGGACCCATGGCCTAGAATGGAACGAACAAGGTGAGAGACTATATGAGTTCATCATGTCAACTAAGACCATCCATGGTAACTAACAGTTCCAGAAGGCCAAATCTAAACGTTGGACATGGGAGTCTCCTGATGGACGATTCCACAATGAAATTGACCACATCATATTGAATTGACAGTTTTGCCTGACCGATGTCGCTTTTGTCCCAAAATTCCAAACGGAATCGGACCACTGTCTCCTTCATGCAAAATTCCACTTCACAGAGCAGGGAGAAAGGGCTGCAAAGTTTAAGAAGAGAACTTAAGAACTCCCAGAATGATCACCAAGAGGTAGCTCTTTGGCACTATTGCGACAACATGGGAAGATGCTGTCCTTGATAGCATTGAGGAAGAATACGATAGACTGGCTCAGCGCCTCCATGATTGTGTGAGGAATGCCGAGAGAGAGATAACCACAAAAAGACACCTGTCTTTGAAAACTCTCCAGCTCATTTGCCAACGTGGCTTGGTGCAAGCCTCAGGCAACCGCAAGCGAATGTCTGAGCTTGCAAAGCAGTGCAGAGAAGCGATCAAAGAAATACTCAAAGAGAGAAGAGCAGCATTGCTGGCAGACATGGCAGAAGCCAGGAAAAGCATTCGCAACACCTGCCTGTCCTTCACCAACTATACGACCATGATGACTGCCCTCCTATGTCCTGATGGATCTATCACATCTTGCAGAATGGGAATGGAGATTATCCATGACTTCTACTTGGATCTCTCTGATAGCTACATCCACCAGCCCACATACCAAATTCTGCAGGATGAATATGTTGTTTCCAACGTTCTCCCTTCCAAAATACAACACGCCATTTCATCGGTAAAGAAGCGAACAGCATCCGGCCCAGACAAGGTCAGACCCGAACACCTGAAGAACCTGCCATCAGTTCTCATCAATACACTGGCTCAGCTCTTCACACACTACCTGTCTGAATGCAAGGTTCCGTCACAGTGGAAAACCAGCAGAACTGTACTACTCTGCAAGAAGGGAGACATCCATAACATTGGCAACTATCGCCTGATCTGTCCATTGTCTGTCATTCACAAGGTGTTCAACCCAAGTCATCCTGAATAGGATTAGCAGAACACCAGATGAAGGACTACCATGCGAGCAAGCTGGGTTTCGAAAAGGATTCAACACGATCAACCACATCCACACAATAACCAAGCACACTGAGGTTTCTTGGGAGTTCAAGATGCAGGTCTAACATTCATTGATTTTTAAAAAAGGCCTTTAAGGAAATGACTCATAAAGAAAGGGATAGATAAAGAAAGATTGCATTCATCTGGGGAACATAAAGTAACAAAATAGACTAACACCCAAGAATGGCCAAGATTAGTACCAGGAATTTTAGACCATGGCTTGGAGGCCAACCACACATGCTAAGAGAAAATGGAGCTCAGATAGAGAAGGGAACACCAAATAAAGGTGTTGAGGGAACACCAAATAAAGGTGTTGGGAGGATCCTCCCAGGATGGGAGAAATATGCTGAAAGTAGACTATAGACCAAACATGATTGTCACCCATTACCTCTTTTGCAAACCACAACACCCAATAAGAGAGAGAGAAAGAGAGAGAGAGAGAGAGAGAGAGAGAGAGAGAGAGAGAGAACAAAAGGGAATGCCCTGCCACAGAGGCAGGGTGGGGTGGGGGTG